CGCTCGCACACGCTCGCACACGCTCGCTCACACACGCTCGCACACGCTCGCTCGCACACGCTCGCTCGCACACGCTCACACTCGCTCGCACACGCTCGCACACGCTCGCTCACACACGCTCGCACACGCTCGCTCGCACACGCTCGCTCGCACACGCTCGCACACACTGTCAGCGCCTCAGGGCAGCTGGCCCTCCCGGAGGCTGCAGCGACGTCGTCGTCGCTGTGGTGACAGGTGCAGCCGCAGGAGCTGGGTTTAAAGTTCCCGCCGTTGCGCTGGAGGAGCTGCGGGCCGGTTCCAGTGTCAGGTCCCGTCAGCGTAGCTCAGCTCCTGGGGTGGGGCCGAGCGAGGTGCCGTCTGCGACCCCTGCGAGCGGTGAGCGCTGGATCAAGTCTGGATCCTGGCTTCTCACTGCTGCTGTCAGGCCTCTGCAGGCGCCGCTTCTGAGGAGAAAGCACTAGGGGAAGGGAGGGGCAGGCGGCCGCGGAGGCGGGCCCGCACTTTCCAGCGGCCCTGCAGGCGGCCGCGCTGGCTCCGCCGCGCAGAGACAGGCTGGGCAGTGTGTCGTCAGTACAGGACTTTCTATGAACTTCCCCTCAGTTGGGCAGGTTTGTAGTTTTTCCTTTTTTGGTTTCATATCAAATTAAAAACCTTAATTTTACTGTACATTTAAATTTTGCATTCTTAGAAGCAGTCAGTTTTTAAGTTTTTTTGCTGTTTATAGACTGGAAGGATGGGCATTATAACTCATTCGGTTGTATAGTCATGGACCAAAAAGGGTTTAGCGTGCCAACACTCTTCAGTTCCTCCCTGCGAAGCACTTCCATCTGATGCAGTGTGTATTTTTTGCTTTTATTTTTGTGCCCATATTTTCTTGTCCAGATCTTTTCCTTGAGAAGAAATGTGTGAATCAGATGAAAAATGTTTGGAGAGGATTTTATTGTGGCTGTAGAAAATAGATTTTATTCTTTTATGTTTCTCACATTCAGAAATAGACGGTATCAAACAAAATTATATTAAGCGACTGGAAAAAATGTTGTTTTGCTTTTAACGTTATTAACTAGTTAGCACCCGCAGCCTCCTGCCTACGGCTGTTTAATTGTAAGGCATTTTAAGTTAGTGGATGCCAGGCACTGGAATATGAATGATCGTAAATCCGGCAGTGCTGGAGGAGAATTACTGTTTGCTGATCCCATTCTCCTGGATTTGGGAAAACAAGAAATATTAAGTAACTTACCCAAGGTCACACAAGGAGAAAGTAGCAGACCTGGGCCAGCCTCCTGGACTCTTGAGTTCAGAGTTGGGCGTTTTGTGCTGTCTGACTGACGTCAGGTGACGCCAGCGGCGCTTTTCTGGAGCACCCCGGGGCGGTGCCGCAGCGAGGTGCCCGGTGCGGCGGCTTGTCTCGCTGGGGTGCGGGCTCCTGCGGCCAGCACTGGGAAAATTCGGGTGGGTAACTTAAGCTGACCTAAGTGTGCAGAGCTGGGAAGAGGTTTTGAACTGAGCATTCCTGTAACTGTTACAGGAATGAAATAAATGATCTGTAAATGAATGAATGAAATGATAAAGGGAACAGCTGCGTCTAACTAGCGGCAGTACACTGGTTTGCTTACCCACTAGTCCTTTTGTATGAAAGTAACGAACTTTCGCTCCCTCAAAAGAGTTAACAGTGATTATGTAGCTGTGTGTATGTAAATCACGCTAATTAAAATGATATGTTTTTAGATTTAGGCTAGAAAGACCAGCTTCTGCATCACCTAGTAGCTAACTGCAGGTTTAAATTCCTTATGTGGATAAGATTTGTGATTTGCTTTTGAAGGGATAAGTCTCATTTGTATTCTAGGGGACGAAGCGGTATTAGTTTATGAATAAAATAGCCATGTTTTATTATGAGTATCCTTCCCTAAAAATCTGAAAACTTTTCATCCGTTGCATAGAAGACTTTCGGGCTTTATGAGGTTAATTATTTGACACTTCTGATGCGCTTCATGAAAAGTTGGGAAAGAACCTTTAAAAGTGACGTTCTGGTCTGGGGCAGCTGCTGGGATGTTACCTGTTCACTGGCTTGCCCTGGAGCAGGAAGCTTCACCTTATTCTAGAATTCTCGACCAGACCCTGCTGCCACCTCTGGCCAGAGTGCACCTGAGTGCTAACCCAGAGCTCGGGAGGGGCGTGCTGGGCGCCGGCTCCCGGGCACGGAACCGCCGCTCGGAGGAGGTTTTCGCTATTGTTTTCTCTGAATGTATTGTTTTCTTCTTTATAGATGATCATGGGAACAGCAATAGTAGTCATGTAAAAATCTTTTTACCGAAAAAGCTGCTTGAATGTCTGCCGAAATGCTCAAGTTTACCCAAAGAGAGGCACCGGTGGAACACTAATGAGGTAGACACGTTTCTGTTTTTAGGGGTGTACTTGTTTTAAGGGCAAACTATTAGGTCATTTTGCATATAGCAATACTTTTTGTTAGATGTAAATTCAGAATATTTAAGTAGGAAGTTACAAACGATGAGAAACTGCATTTGACAGAAACTCAGGTTTCAGACTGCGATCTGCTTGGCTCGCACTGAGCGTGTCAGGTGTGCACGCTGACCTCCGGGTGCGTGGGTGTGGCTGGGCTCCTGGCACCCCGGCTCCCGTGTGGGGCGGCTGTCTGCCTGCACCCTGCCGGACGTAGCTCTTGCGGTGTCGTGGCAGAGCGGCTGTGCCGCAGTGCCCCCAGCTCGCGTGGGTCCGCAGCCGGGGTTTCTGCAGCGCGGGGAGGCGCCGCCTCTTAGCGGTCAGTTCTTACCCTCCCCGATGAAGGAAGTCTGTGCGGGCCGCTGCCTGGGTAGCTTTATCTCCGCGGTAGGCGTTTTCATGAGAAGCGAAGGGTGTGTAGCAGGTTCTGTTTTTGGCGTCCAGTGAGGAGAAAGACTGCCGAAGCAGAGCGAGCGACGGCTGACCGTGGGCGACCTTCATTTTTGGTCAGTCTCAGTCTGGGAGCCTGGCGGCGCATGGCTTGCTTGGTCCTCTCTTGCTGTTGAATTCTGCTGATGTCCGTGCGGGTGGGAGCAGGAGTGGTCCTGGGGAGGGCGTGTGTCCCTCAGCCTTAGGGTGAGGCACTTAGGTTGGGGCACTGGCTGCTTCCAGTCACCCTCAAGTCCAGTGACCAGCACAGCCTGCCTGGCCCAGGGGTGCTTGAGGTGGGGGTGATCCCTCGGGGCCTGGTGTCCTAGAGTGCTCAGCTCTGACTTCTTGGCTCGGGTGCTTTTCTTGGGAGTTGTGAGGACGGAAGTCCCTTTACTTAGCCAGTTTACAGATGCAGACACTGAGCCGGCACAGCTCTGTCCCTTGTCTCAGCTGATTAAACTCCTTTGAAGGTCCGTGCGTGGGTGGCTCGCGCACATTCCAGTTCTCCTTAGAGTACTTCTGCTTTGCGGATGGCGGCTAGTTTAGAGACCTCCTCTTTTAATCAGCTACGTGTTCACTATTTCAAGCAGTTTAGACGTGAGAACAATCTATTTGTCTTGAAACGAGGTGGCTGCTTTGGAGGTCACTCCCTGGCCCACTGGAGGATGAATCCTCGAAAACCTGGGTGTGTTTCTTCAGTCCCTCAAACACGAATTGGATGCCAGACTACTTTGCATTAGCCCCCGTAACAAAACACACCGTAGCTGCGTACTTTCTCAGTATTATATTTCCCGTGGAATTGGCAGCTTATTTTAGCCGCATTGGAAGTGGCTTGAAACCAGATAGCCCGAGGCATCAGGGTCGCTGGCAACCGGTGCGCCCGCGGCCTGAGCGGCCAGCGTGTCCGGAATTTAGTCGGTGAAGCTCCACATCGCTGGCTTCAGACTCTTGGGGGGACTTCGGAGTCAGGCCCTCACCTTCCCACGCTTGTCTGGCGACGACCTGGCCGCGACTAACCCGGTTCACGAGACACCAGCAAAGCTGGCGGAGAGGGTGGGAATCAGGCCCCGCTGACCGCCCGCCGCTCTGCTGGGCTCGGGCCACGCCTCGCTGGGGCAAGTTCACAGGCAGGAAACAGGAAATGTCAACGGGGCTTTGCTGAGGCTGACGTGCTGGCTGGAGACGCTGCCGGCACGGGAGGGGTGGCGGGCGGGCGCCCTGTCCTGGCACCGGGGCCTTTCCGTGCCTGTTGGCCCCTCGCAGCGGCTTTCTAGGGGTGCAACGCCGAGCTCGGGCACCGCCATATGGGGACGCTGGTGTTTTTCTGTTTCTTTTGGCTTTGGGAGAAGTCGGGATCGTGGCGTGGAGGCCGCAGGATCCTGTGGGCGCGGAGCCGGGAGCGCCGGCTCCGTGGCCTCGCTGCTGCTCGCCTTCCATGCTGGCATGGACGTGGCGCCTCCTGGCTTGGCCGGAGCTGCGGCGAGACCGCCTGGCTCTCGGCGAGCCGTGGACCCGCCTGCCGGGGCCCCCGGAAGCCCCGCTTGCTCTCAGGCGCCGGTGTGGGTGCCCGTGTCCGCATTTGCGCCGCGGTGCGAGGGTCTCTTGGTGGCTGGGCGCGGGGGGCTGACTCTGGCCTTGTGGCGCCTGGGGCTGTGTGGTTCCACTCCCGGGCCCAGAAGCCTGTATGCGTGGCAGGGGGCGCAGGGGTGCAGGGGGCTTTGCCATCCGGCCGGGAGCGCCCACTCCCGCCTGTTGCCAGCCAAGCCCAGTTCTTCTAGTTACTTATTAATCCTCAGAAACTTGTCTTGGGCGTTGTCGAGACCTAATCAAAGATCCCTAACTCTTAAGCACTTTAGCGTCCTTAGCAAATCCATTTTGTAATTTAGTTTTGGATTAAAGAGATGGAGCCTAGTAGTGTTTGTGAGTTTAAATGCAGATGTTGGGTGAAGCTGAAAGTCTGTTTAGAAGGAAGATTGTTAGAAGATAAGAGAGCTTAAGGCCTAGTTAAACTGCTTTTCACTTTGTCTTCCCCTTTCCAAGGGGAAGGTCCTCCGTCCCGCTTGGATGTTACCTGCATAGCTAAAACCCAGGCAGTTGTCCATGACTTTCTGGCCACCAACAGCCTCCTGCTCAGAAGGTGGCCGGGAGGGTCCGCACTAGCCGCCCTGTCTCTGGGCTGGTCTTGGGGGCGTGTGGTCAGGCACTGGGGCTCTGTCTGCGGGCTAGGAGGCTGCCGGCCCTGCAGCTTGGGGCCGCGCTCCCTGGCAGGCGCAGTCTCGGCAGACTTTGCCCAGGCCTGTGCTGCCCAGGGGCCCTTCAGCCCCCAGTGTGCGGGACACTCTGGCTTTCATTCGCTTGCATTTATTTTCAAGTATTGTACGTAAACTTGATGTATTTTTGCATGACTTTTTAAAAAGAAGGAGCAAACATTCACTTCTTAGGAAAGTAGTTTTGATTCTTAATGATGAATATTAACATGTGGCCTCTGGGTCATGAAGAAACTACCTTAAAAGCAGGAAGTTTGTACCAGTGCAGAACTTACAGCTTAGGCTGGATTTTTATACTCTGGCCAGAGAGCTTGTGTCTCGCTGGTGACTGCGTCAGAGGTGCTGCATTTTAAGTTAATATTTTGAAGGCCCAGAGCCAGGATAATTATGCTAATACGGCTTTCTGATTGCACAAATGACTGCTCCCTAATTATGCACATTAGTGCTCCATATATGTTGTCCAGACTGGAAATTTCTTTTGTTTAGTCATTCATTAGCTGTTTGATGTGAAATATGACCGCTGCATTCCCCACTCTCCAGACCTGGCTCAGATGGCCCCTTCCAGAGCCGGCCGCTGAGCTGGGCCGGCACAGCGGGGTGCTCTCCTTAGGTACGTCAGGTCTGGTTCGCGTGATGCTGTCTTTGAGCTGTGAGTGCTCTTTTCTTTTGTTTGTTTTTCCTCTAAGAGTGTCTCTGGAGCAGCAGACATGATGGGGTGCTATCTGGAATCGATCTTAAAGCTGCACACCAGAGGTTTTTAGCTTGTGGTTGCTTTAATATGAGGTGTTCACATTAAAGGCATTGTTAGCGGTGGAAGTGTTGTCTGACGGCAGACGTGGACGCACGGGCTGAGCCGCACTCGTGTGGCCACAGGTCGCCGTGAGGAAGCACAGGCCCACATTTTGGGCGCTCAGTTAGGACTCTTCAGGCTGCCCGAATGAGAGCCAAGCCGAGAGGCATCCTTTTCCGGTTGCCCTGGTGCGGGGGTGTGGCTGTGGGGGCCCGGCAGGTCCGAACCCCATGGTCAGCTTGGCAGGCCTGGTGGTTGAACGGCCTAGACTCTCGGCGGCTTCAGGAGGGCGTTTCTGGTCAGAGCACTAAACGGAGAAGGTGCCTGCTTGAGGAGTCATAGCATTTGGTTTCTGAGCGTGATCTGTGGACGGAGTTTCGGGTCCACTGCGATCGTGACCAGTGGCAGAATCCGAAGCCAGGTCCAGGTGGCAGCCCCGGGAGGGTTGCTGGTGGGGTGGAGAGCCCCAGAGGGAATGCTAGAGAGTATCGCACTGTGGGCTGGCGCAGCTGATGAGGAGTACAGGGGGCCGTGGAAGGAGCCCCCACATCTGGTGTACGGAATGGAGCGTTTGAGCATTCGGTGTTCAGGATTTAGCGTTTTGGGATCTTTTATGATTTCGGGGTCAGCCACTCCCTCCCCCACCAGGCCAGTCTTCCAGGGGCTGCCGGGGGGTGTGTGAGGTCCCAGCAGCCACGCTCAGAGAGGAGAAGCTTGGGGGCTCTGCCAGCTGCTGAGAGACGGAAGCGGGTCCTTCCTGGTCTGGCCGCTGTCACAGCCCGGCAGGGAAGAAGGCCCCGTACTGCGCCAGCCGAGCCGCGAGCGTGGCCGGCCGTCGGGTCGTCCTGCTGCTGTGCTGCTGCTGAGCGGCGCGGGGCCGCGCGGTGCCGGGGCATCTGGGCAGCTCCGGGAGCCTCTCTGGGGGCATCTCCCGGTGTGCCTGCTGCTGTCTTTGTGGGTTGGATCCGGCCTGCAGGTCTCAGGGCATGAGGACGCCATCTTGGGAGTGTGACCTAGTGTTCTGTGTCCTCAGTCATGGGAAGACGCCATCTTTGATGCTTTTTGTTTAGGTCTTGAAAACACTGGACACTGCTTTGGGTGAGGCAGATGGCCATTTGTGGCCTCAGTAACTGTTTTTACCGTCATAGTTGTTCTCTGAAGCTGAGTCGTCTTGCAGTTGTGCGTGGTGAGGAACTTAAGACAGTGAGCCCATGTGTGGGCAGTGTCCTCGGGCAGTTCTAGTGCCCCTTGCTGCCCTGCGTCATGATGACACTGTTGCAGTTGGGTTGGCTGGGCTCTGTTCAGTGTCGATGAGCAGACACCAGAACCCCTTGGCCGGTTCGTCAGGCCTCCTGTCTGCACTCAGCTCGGGGGAGGGGCGGGGTAGCCTGGGCTGTTGGGAAATGGGGCCAGTGTCCTCCACATCAGTGAGGGAG